TGTTATATTATATGTATAAGACTATTGTAATGAATCAATATAATGTCAGTTGATAAAGTATAGCAAAAATAAATTCCTACAAGTATTTAAGTTGCCTGCTTAAAATAAGGTTAGGCACCTTGGCCCTTATAAAGGTAATAAACATTATATTATCATATAATAATAGAAATAATAATTCATAACGTATATGCATATAATTATTATCATTAATCATTATAATATAATATTATATACTATTTGTTATAATAATTAATAATTTAAATTTTCCCACCAAATGTGTAGACCAATCAGAAGGCAGGATTTAATCAAGGGGTTTTATTTCGTGTGCAGAATGGTAATATGCTTCCTAACCTAACATTAGAGTTAATGTTCATGCTTTTTCACATGGGTTTTTAACCTAACCTACACGTTTACCATTTTATAGTATTAGGAGATAAGAAGTCTTTCCGGCCGACGTCATTGATATTCGACCAGTGTTGCCAAATCAGCCATTTAATGGCTAAAACTAGCATTTTTTAAGGAGCCACTAGCCACTGAAAATTACATCTAGCAGGTAGCCACAATTCTAGCAATATTTTTTAATTTCATATTAAATAACACATTTTCTAGCACTTTAATTAATTTCATCAGATACACTAGTATTTAGTAATAATCAGTAATCAGTAATCACTTATTATTAATTATTACTAAACGTCCTTGGACTGTGGAGTATTGAGATAGATAAGGATAACAATTAATAACAATATTATCTACAACCACACCAGCTGCACGAAATACGAATATCTTCTTATCTTAACCGTAGTCCGTAGTCACTAGTCCGTAACCGGCTTGTTGATTGATTTCTGACTTCTTAATTGTCTTCAATAGTTCTATGCTCCCTATACAAACTACCTTTACAATACACATTTCAACGTTTGTGAATTGTCAGATATAAATATAACATGAAATAGGAATATCCTAGAGCTTTATTCTATCTTCAACTTCTGCTAGTCAACCTTTTCGTCGCTCACGAGTCTCATCTGTTTTTTTCTCCGTGTGTGACGATTTAAACTTGTATACATATAATTTATTTATTATGGGTAAACCGCAATATACTCAAAAATATACCAAAAAATATAGAAATATTGGAAAACATTTCAATGTTTTCTGTTAATAATAGCTTAAAAACATTAAAAGACAATTTAATTCCTTTACTAGAACTTATGAACACGAAAGAAGATATAATTGACAAAATAAATAATCAATGGGTAAATATAACATCCATACAGTGGCTGGAAAAAAATAACACACATAAATTTTGGTACGAAGTATCACTGTATAAGGATGCTTCAGGTGATAATCCGTTTGCTGACCTGAGTTCGTTTGTTATTCAAATGCTGATACTTCCATGGTCCAATGCCGAAGTCGAAAGGCTCTTTAGTCACATGAATATTATTAAAAGTAAGACGCGCAACAAAATGTCACCAAAAACGTTGGATTCAATTCTTACCATTAGATCGGGGTTAAGAAGAAAAAAAAATGTTGTTCTGATTATATTATTCCTGATTCAATAATAAAAAAAATTGGTACATTATCAGCATATACATCAGCTGATATAGAATTGAACAACTCCAGTGAAAACGGAGAAGAAGAAATTGATGCAAATGATTTATTATTTAGTCAAGATGATTAAACATTTTTATTTTTATATATAAAACAATATTGACATTTTTTTTTTGTACACTTATATTACTTATAAACATTATTGACATTTTTATTTTCTATTTAATAAAAAATTTTTTTAGCCATTTCTAGCCGTTTTTTTTCATGTCTTTGGCCATTTTTTGCTAACAATTGTTGGCAACACTGTATTCGACACGAGTGTCACGGAACTAAGTTCATACCTACTTATTTAGCCATAATCGTTGGTATTTTAGCCACTTCTCGTGAAAGGCCGTGTCGTAATTTGTGTTACACCTCGAAGCACTTACGCGTCATTTGGTTAAACGTAGTTGTCTTGTGTCGTGTTTGTGAATATTAACTTCTCGCGCTGTTTGCGTTACACGCCGACGCACGTACGCCTTCGTATCACTCGACTTTATCACACCCGTGTCTGCGAACCTTCAGTTCACGCCGCAATTTTCATTACACGTCGACGTACGTACCCAACCTCGTGTTATAACACCTGGGTATCGTTCCGACTGCACACGATTCGTAGTCGAATCTACTCAACTATATGTTTTTGATTTCAGATTACGCTGTAAATATCATTGTACATAAGGTATAGCTGAACCATAAGTGAAAATACAAATACATTATAATGAGCAACAGTAATGGTGTTGTTAATCGCAATTCAAAGACGTTTGGTGTTATAAGACCTAGCAAGAAAAAGGAACAAGAAAAATCGCAGGTATATTTAATTTGTAGTTTACGCTCTTCTTCTGTATTGCGCCATTGTCTGCACATTTTTGTCATTAAATTAATTTAAATTTGACTCCTAATAGTATATATTTTATTTTATTATACACTATTTATCAATTATTTTATACTTTTAGGTTGTTAAATAATTATTGGTTTAATTTTTTACATAAAAGTTAAAATTAAAAATGTTTATATGGAAATGTTATTATTTCTTGTATTATAATAATTTTAGTTAAACATTTGTAATGTATTGTAATAAAATAATAACATTTAGATAAGTCATTTGTAGGTTATTCAATCGGAAAATTAAAAATGCTCATAACTTACTTAAATACATAATTATAGTAAAAAACCCTCAGTCAAACACAGATACTTAATGTTCCTACCATTAAGTTTCATAATAGGTGGAGTCACTCTAATTTTTAAACTATAAAGCTAATCATGATCTGGTATGCTCTTGTAAGACGTTGACAACAGATATCTGTGTAGCTCCCTCTTAAGAGGTACTCTGTTCCAAGTGAGAACATGCCGGTTCTGAACATCCCTTTGCGTTATCCTGCTAATGAAACCTGTTCCATTATAAGAGGAGTTGTATGGTGATGAGCAGTAAAACTGATTTTGCTTGGACCGCGGCATGTTCTCTCTTGACACAGAATATAGGTAAATATACATGTTGAAATACCTATTTGAAACTTTTCTAAAAATAATTGTTTTATCTTATTAATTGGAAATCAGTTAATATGAACCTTAATAAAGTAATATTATAAATAATAATATAGGTAGGTACCTAATTTACATAATGATTATTTCATTGTTAATCATTCAATATTTTAGAAAATTCAAACTACAAAGATATTTTTTAAACATTTAAAACAAAATATAGAAAAAGAAAATGTAAGCATAAAAACTTTTTAAGAAAATTTTTTTATAAAAATATATAATATTTGTAGTTAATAATGAATCTAGTAATTTTATTGTTATATTTGAACCATTTTTAAAAACTATAAATGAAAAGAGGACTTCACACAGGCATTTGTTGTTTCCGTCTTATAAGTACAAACCATAGCAAATTGAACAACCAGCAGAACATGTGTAGCTTTGCCAGTTTAAAGAACTAGAGTGAATTGACCACTTATTAAATTTAAAGTTAAGATTATTATCTAGGCAATCTCATCGGCTTTTCATTATATTTTAAAGCAAGTTATGAGTATTTTAAAAGAAATCAACAACAAAATAAAACTGGTGTGTTTCATTATTTTTTATATTTTTCAATTTTAAAATAAGTAGGTACATTAACTTATCAGGTATAATATAATATATAGTATAATTAACTCAAAGATGAAGTAAATATGGCGCTCCATGGCAATGCTTTAAATATTGCACTAACCATTGATGCCCTTTTGGAAGGACCACAGTTGTACTTAAGTTTAAAGTATAAATCATTAGTGTTGTATTTTCCTTAGATAAGTAACTTAATCCAACTTAAATTACCATAATTTTTGTTAGGAACCATGTTCAACAATAAGCCAGAAGAAAAGAAATCGAGCTCGAAATGTTAAGAAAAATGAAAAAGGTGATTTGATGAAAAAAGGCAAAGTAAATGGAGGTACTGATTGATATTGTTATTGCTAATTAAATTTCTCTCTTTATTTATTAACATATACCTATATGCATATTATATTGTTCAAGTAGATGCTGAATAGGACAAAACCATTACACAAGCAGCTAGTATTACTGCTCAAAATAATGGTGGATTTAGTGCTCATTGTTAAATCAATTATCCCTTAAAGCTTTAATTACCTATATATTTTAATTTAAGTTTTACTTATACGACTTAACAGTTTAAATTAAAGCCTATACTAAACTATTAAATAAATTAAATATTTTAATTTATATGGATGTATAACTGTTGTGAAGTATTGATGTTATTTTGATATTTTTATGTTTTAGCACTAGTTTATGACAATACTGTCATTTGAATGTAGAAAAGTAGATATTTTTTGTCAATTTTAATGTGTTTCATCAGTCATATTTATATAATAATAATTTGTCATATAAACGTGAAATGTATGAGTTGTCGTATAGCTATTTCAGAAATTCCGTCAATAAGGAAGCCTTCAAGTGATAATATTATCTTGTATCGTGGTATTCAAGAAGATTACTCAATCACACCTATTTATATTTTCAGTAGTTTTTGATTTTTATAAAAATAATAATGTTATAAAAATAAATGTTAGTTTTATATCAATTAAAGTTATAAAAATTAAAGCAACAACTTTATGCTTACTTAAGAATTTTAAGTGCATATTTATGCGTTTATATGAATGACTTAGTAAATATTATAGCACTTCTAACGTCCTTTATTAGAGCTACAATTCACGAGTCCTGATTATTAAATTAATTACATTAAATAATATTATAAACCGTTTAAACCGTTGTTTTGTCAAAATATGATTAACAAAAGAATAGTTTTAAAAATGTTATTCATTAATATTAAGAAGTAATGACTAATGCAAAGATTTAAATACAATATTCAATTTTTTCGAAATTCCCCAGAATTTTGTTCATTTTAAAATATTAATTCTTTAACAGGATTAATGATGAACAGAAAACTTGATCAAATAAAAGCAGTTACTCTACCACCGCCAGCTGTAACTACTTTCATTTCTTATCCTCCAGGTAAAAATATAAATAATTAAATATTTATTATTTCAATAGTCAAATTATAAATATGAATATTTGAGTAAAATATACATTTTTATGGTTTTAGTGGAAATTGTTTCTTCGTCTTTTGAAAAGAATTCAATGGGACCTGGGAAAAAACCAAACTTACGTAATCGCATACCGCCTCCTTCTAAGATACCATTAAGTGCTGTTGAAATGCCACCTGATTATTCTAGTGTCGATATCAACTTATTAGATGTATCATTTGGTGCCTTTGATCTTTCTGATGACATACCACAACTTTGTGATCCATCACAGGAACAAAATGCATTGCCACCTATTGTTAAATATGATAACTCAATTGCTCAAAAAGTAGATTCTGTCCTTGCGCAAACTGAATATTCAACTATCTCTAATCAAGCTTCAGTTCAAACTCAAAGATCATTTCAAGTAAATCAAGCACCTCAGCCATCAATTAAAATTTTATGGCGCCCTAATTATTCTCATTCTGCTGATAATTTAACAAAACATTACTCTGCAGTTGCTAATCCTTACCAAAATATTAATACTGGACAACCGACATCAATGTATAATTCTTCAGTTTATTCTAATAATCCTCAAGTATGTATCTAAATATTTTTTCAAATTTGGTTTTTGGTTCACTGTATTATTTGTTTTTATTTGTATTTTTAACTTACTAAACTATAAATAGCTGATTGCAGCATATAGCATACAGCAAAATGTTTAAGCAAAAACTTATAATACCGGAAAATATTACAAACTGGTGATTTTGAAAACCTGTTCAAATGGAACTTAAAACAATCAAATTACACTTTAAATTTTTGTAAAGACATTATAATTAAAACTTATTTTTTAGAGTTTATCCAGTCATACAAGTTTGTATGGTACAAGTGCATCCAACATTGGTGGAAGTAGTTCAAATTCCCACAATCCTCAATTGTCTCAGTCTAATTATTCAAATTTAAATGCTTATTACCCTCAAACAGAAGCACAACCTCAGTTCTCTTCTTATCCATACAAAAATCCTTACTCATATCAGGCATCTGGAATTTCCTATCCTCCTATCGTATCAGATGCCAATGTAGCATCAATGTATTCCACATCAACAAACTACAATAATATGCACCAAAATATAAATCAAAATGGGAATACAAACTTGTCTAAGTCAACAGATTTGTTGACTTCAAATACTAATTCTAACAAAGAAAGTCTGGTAAGTAAAAGTCAATATAAAATAGCAATGAAACAAAAAATGTTATTTTTAATTTCATATTTTTCTAGAAACTTTAATACATCTAATAATAATTTAATTATTTTTTAATATCTAGTTAATTAGTTGCAAGTAGGTATTTAAAGTATTTAAACCAAAATAATGTTGGCCCGCTGCTCTGCTCATTTAAACTTTTAATATGTATGAATTTGGTTCGTAAAGATGCTTTAAATTGCATAAACAATAAATATATATGAATGACAAGAGCTTACTAAAGTCTAAAATACTAACTAGTTCTTCTTTTTGTGTCTGGTCATTATTTACAGTTATATTTTATCTATCCAGTAAGCTGTCAATTTTATAGTATGGTCATTAATATTGTCCATATCTTCTTTGAAACACGTCCCTACAAAGTTAGGGCATTCATATGTTAATATTGTATTGTACTCTTCCACATTCACAATTGTCGTCTTTTGACAATCCCCATTTAAACATATTCTTTCATTAATTTGGTTAATAAATTGTTATCCAAAGGTTTCAAGATAAACTATTTCCTCTATGTAATAATCAAAAAAATATACAAGATATAGGTGCCAATAAATAAAATATCTAAATACAATATAGAATTAACAAAGCTCAAGATGTAAATGATACTTAGATACTGCAAATCCATCTTTAAAACTAGTTAACTACTTGTTCTAAATTTGACTTTTACATATTATGAAAATTCTCAGTAAAATATTCTGCTTCAGAATATGAAATAAAAAATGTATGCAGTCATTCAAATAAGAAAAAATGCTGTTTTGTAACTTAAATTATAAATAAATAATAAGTTTCAAAAACTTAAAATTAAGTATTTCTCAACTTGAGTAAAAACATTTCGTTTTTTAAGTACTACCAGTTCCAACCTTCAAATAACTCATGGACATCAAGTGCTAGCAATCCAAATGGAAATATTATAAGTAATACATCGTCTAGCATTGGAATCGAACAGAGTACTTTATTGGCTTCAAAAACGACTACACCAAAAAGTAATATTTGAATTTAATTTGTAATTTTGGTATGTTTTTTATTTGATTGATGGATTCCTTAAGTATAGTTTTTAGGGAAATATTAAAATTTTTATTCAAGAATTTAATTTGTTATGCTTGGATTTTTATCATAAATTTAAAATGAATAACATTGTTTTAATTTATTTTAGAAAATGAAAGTGGTGCACTGTCGGGAATGCCTCCTGGTGTTGCCCCACTTGTTGATGAACAGTATATATTAAACCAACAGTGTATTCCTGGACACTTAAGTCCATCTCACTCTGTAATGTATAGAGGGGAAGATTTACAAATGGTACAATCAGGGTACCCCTCATCATAATATGGTAAAATATATAACAATTAAGAAAAGAACTAAATATTATAAATATTATTTCACTGTTTTCAGACTAACTTATATTTGCCCAATCCAATGTATCCAAGTGCATTATCAAGTCTGACTGGAAGAGAAATTGTTGGACCTGGTATTTTAAATGTTGCAAGTAATTTGTCAGTAACAGATTCAAGAAGTGCACTTACAGACAATAATGCTTCACCAGATTCATCTACTCTATCTCAACAGGTTATATATATTTTATACATTGACTGACAAACAAAATATTATTTTATTGAGCACAACATGTGATGTTCAAGTGTACATTGCATCGTGAGTGGAAAATAAAGCCGGACACAATTTACAGGCAACCGCTGTAGTGTATGTACCAATGAGATTTGCTATCCCTCGAATAAGAGATTGTTGCCCTAACGTGATAAATCAAACAAAAATTCAAAACAAAACACTCAGCATTGTAAAGTCAATACTTGATCGAATCATAAATCATATGAAAAAATATTTTGAGGTTAATATTATAAAATAATGTCGATTCAAAATTGTCCAAAAAATTAAAGCATTCATGATTATATTTTTTTGAAAATATGTGACAATTGTCAATATGTTTTCTTTTGCTAAAATAAACTACTAGTAACAATGAAAATCAAATTCTTAAAGTATTATGGTGAATTATTTTTAAGAGTGCTACGTTTAACTTCAAAATGTATAGAAAAAGCCATAGAAAAAGATAACTATATAATATCTAATAGGTAGTGAAATAAATAATAAAAGAATATTGTCAAAATCCAAACTTAAAAAGTTTACAAAAAAAAATAATAAATATAATATAATTATATGTTTTTAACTGATACAAGAACAACTTATGAGAAGAAATATTTTAAGAAATTGCCTAGCAATTTAATAACAATTTTTGCTAAATTTGTAAGCCCCTGAAATTAACTAAGTAACTACTGTCGTTAATTGACTTATTATTAGTTTGGGCGTTGATGTAAATTTTTATAAGCTATTAATTGCTATGCAGGCTGATTCTTTTACCAGTTGAACACTCATTATTTCAAGAAGTGTTTTTTTTTTTAAAAATATTATTTTAAATAGTTTTTAAGTTGCTTAAAAAACACTATTTTATTTAAAAATTATATTTTAAAATATTTTTTATCCTTATCATTTTTTAAGTTTTTTAAATAGAATTAATATTTTTACATAGAGTTTTAATTTCATATTATAAAGCAGAATATTTGTCTTAGTATTTGGAAACATAAAAATCAAATGTAGGGCAAGTAGTTGATGAGTTATAAGCATTTAAAGTTTAGGTGAGCAGAGTAGTAACATTTTAAAGTGCAACCCCGCAACACTCTAATCCAATTACATTGTATGACATAATAATTTTTGATTTTATCTTTAGATGGGAACTTTGGCTCATCAGCAAATACTGTTAAATCCACCTATTGCTCCCAGTTATTATTACGGGCAAATTGTAGTAACCCGCTAATCCAATATATTTGGTAATTAATTAATCTCTACTCTAAATAGATGTTATTTATTTATAAACTTAATTTTTAAGATCACAGACTATTTTGCATCCATTAAATTATAAATGAATAATTAATAGAAGTATAATGAATAATGATTAACAATATTGTTAATGTACTTCATTTGTTATAATTATATTAAAAACAAAAATGTATTTAAATAATAACCTGGTTATTATTTTTACATTTCATTTAGAACTATCATAGTGGAACTATAAATTATAATATATTATAATTATTGCATGATTTTATTATCTGGTTAACTTGGCTGGTATTATTAAACTGGTCCCATGACTCCCATAATTTTTCTCTGTTGATTGGTCGTAAGCGGTTTTGAAGTCAACAAATAGTAGATATGTATCTTGTTGTATTCGTGACCTCTCAACAACGTGTGTTTAGGATGTTATTTGATCTATTGTTGATTTTCCAAGCATAAAACCAGCTTGGTATTCTCCAATTATTTCTTTGATATATGGGTTGATGCTAGTCAGTAGTATGTTGGAAAATAGTTTATATGAAGTATTGAGTAGTAAGATTCCTCTATAATTTTCACACTCCATGATATCTCCTTTTTTGTGTATAGGGCAGATGATGGATATATGGCATGCTTTGGGTATCTCCTCTTGTTCCCAGCTTATGTTCATAAGTTTGTGTAGCTGGTTCAGCAGGCCTCGGCATTCCTTGTTTAGGCAGTCTGATATCTATTCGTCCATCTCCCGGTGCTTTCCGTTTTTTAGTATTCCTAGCCCTATCTTTACTTCTTCTGATGGTTTTTTCAAGCAGCTGTTCTCAGTAGAGTAGTGAATTACGGTGTTATTTTCATTTGGTTGATTTAACAATTTTTCGAACATATCTTTAAATTCACACGCAATTTCTTTACTCTCCATTAGTAAGGATCCGTCATGTTTCTTCATTACTGTTGGTCTAATTTGATATCCATGTTTACTTTTAATTGCTTTTTCGAAGAATAATTTGGAGTTGTTATTCCTGCTGTTTTCTATGTTGTGTATCCGTTCTTTTTCCCATAGTCTCTTATTCCCTCTGATAACTTTTCTTGCATCCTTTGTTTTTGTACTAGTAGGCTTTTATTGTCTTCACTAGGGTTTCTGTAAAACTTTGTTCGTGCTTTGTCTTTTTCCTCTTGAGCAGCTTTACATTCTAAACCATGTTTTCTTTTTTGTTTTTTGGTACATATCCAAGTACTTAATTTGCTGTTATTTTGATTGCTTGCTCTATGTACTCTCACGCTTCATTAAGGTTCACCATTTCTTATATGTCTCGTAATTCCATCGATTTTTTTTGGTACACTTCCGATGTTGTTGTCTTTAGTATATCCTTGTTGATTTTTTCTTTGTACTTATTCTTTTTCCTCCATTTTGTTGATATTCTGAGAGTGATTTTCGCTTTCACAAGGAAATTGTCTGACATCGCACTACTTTCTCGCATACTTCTTATATCTTTGACACACAATTTTATCCGGTTGTCCACTAACATGTGATCTATTTAGCTTCTTACTAACCCACATGGGGAGATTCGTGTTTTTTTGTGAATATTCTTATGAGGAAGGTACGTGTTACCCACTATCATATTTTTAGCTGTGGCAAAAGTGATTAGTTTGTTTCCATTGTCGTTCGTAATTTCATGTAGGCTTTCGGATAAAATTGTTGGTTTATATATTATGTTTTCCTTTCCAATCTTTGCATTGAAGTCCCCTAATACTATTTTCGGTTTATCAACCTGTAGGGTGTCACACACTCACACACCAAGTCTAGGTCTTCATAGAATTTGTTTTTTATGTCGTCACTCTTGTCTTCTGTCGGTATATAACAGTTAATTATAAACATGTTATACCATTTACATTTGAGTTCTATGTAGCATATCCGATCACTTATTGGTTGGAACCTAACTATATTTGTTGTAACGTATAACGTATAACGTTATCCCTTATTACGAAACCTTTCCCTGCATTCATGTTTATCTCCACCACTGTATAATAATGTATTTCCTTGAGATTTCAAGCTACCTGAGCTTCTCCATCTCACTTCTTGAGTCACAGCAATATCCATCCCATATCGCTCAAGACACGATAGAGATGTTGTCAAAGATACAGAGATTGCACGTTCCAAGCTCCATTGTTGATGTCCGTTAAATCTTTGATCCGACGCTTAAGATGTTGTTGTTTCTTAACATATAGTTTTTTTATGAGGTAGGGTTGTCGCCCTACGCTTAACCCCCAACCTGGAGGGCCAGTCCACACCAACTAATTAAAGCCAGTGTGGGGCTATTGCAGCACACTTTTTAGTGTGCTGGGCGACGGGCGAGCCACTTTCCCTACGCCGCCATTTTATATATAACAGACAAACAAAATATTTGATGAATATTTTATCATCCATTGGCCTTGGCCTATGAAATTTTTTTTAAATAGAGAGGTGGGTGGTAGCCAGTAGGTCCCCTAGTAAATTTAATATGATATTCTCAATAGGTAGTCAATAACGATCTGAAATATAACTTGTTATATTACATTAATACATTATTATGCATAAATACTTGGGATATTTGTAACTGGCCTCTGGAAAATTTTTAGTTCGCCACACCACTGATCCAAATCACCTTATCCAGTTTTAAATTATTTTGACATATTTTTCCTTGGTATTAGTTGTAAAATATTAAAGAAAAAATTCTCGGGATTTGGAGAAGCTATTATTTTGTTTATTCCTTTTTAGTAAAAACTAAAAACAGTAATAATTGTATATATACATAAACATATTATGTACAATTTTATGTATACATATTACATATTATATAGTGTATAAATATATTTATATTTAATCATCAATATATAATTATTTTCTTTTTGGGTTACTAATTCAAAAAAAGAAAAATAATAACACCAGGATAAGACTCGTTTGAATGTTTATGATAATATATAAAATAAATAAATAAATAATAAAATTAATTACTGAAAAAATACAAATATGCCGTTCGTTATTAGATGGTCCCAGCAGCAAGTGCAACCAGTCATGGAACAGTAGCAACAAACACAATGTCAGGGTACAGTAATACTGCTACACCTGCTGATTATAACAATGTTGATGAAACTCTAGGATCGTCTTCAGTCACTGGATCAAGCAATGACCATGGAAGTTCGAGCAAAGTGGGGATGTCCGGTCAACAAGCAACTCAAGCTCAGGGAATGACAAATCTGTCTGATCTCGCTTCTATGTATCCCAGTAAATTGATATTGAATAAGGTTAGTGTGAGGATAAAATTATTATAATATACATTATAATCAAATGACAAACATGAAAAACTATTCAAAGCTAATTATTATTTTTTTATTTATCCTTATGACAAACAACAACAGTCATTTCAATCTCCACCACCATTTTCTGTAACTAATAATGACGGAGTTGGATGTTATCATCCAGTATTCAATTCAATCCAGTTTTCCAGTTATCCTCCAGTATTCAATTCTTCTATGCCTCCTGGCAACACACAGCCTCATCATAACGCACCATTGCAGCATCAGGTTTGAATTTAAAATATTTCTACTTGCTTATAGCTTATCTTAATATGAAACTTAATTTGAATTTATATTTGTTATTATTTCAGCAAGAACTTAGCAGTGAAACAAACAACATGAGTCGCAATCAATCCGTATATCCTACAGCCAACAAGGTGAAGGTTAAACAGAACTATAACTAAGGAGTCACTGGCGCAACTACTTAGTTATTTAAGGGGGGTCCAAAAAAATGTATTTAATTACTATTTTTCTGTTCCTTTCCTCAGTATATACATACATTCTAATAGTGTATTAACACAATTATTATTAAATATATTATATGATATCTGTAAGTTTTGATGACCATGTCAGAAAATCTTTAAAAAATAAAAATAAATACTACCTATGACATTAGCCAAGGGGGGAGAGGGGCTCAAGTCCTGTGGTCCACTCCCCCTACTTGTGTTACTGCAAAGAGCTACTCCTTATTTCAACTCCACACATTGAAAACAAGTCTTTATTCATTAATGAGCATTACCCCATTGGGAGAATGGTGATCATACAGATGTATCATTTTCTCCTCTTAAACCCTTTATTTATTCAATGGAATCAGATATAATTTTTTTTTCTGAATAATGTTTCATTTTGATCATAAATATAAGATGTAATAATTTATTATTTTGAGGTGAATATTTATTTTTATATTTATTTTAGACAAAATAAAAAATGTATTGTACTCCTCCCCCTCCCACCCTTGCATAATTTTTTTTTACAATTTGTTTTTGTGTTCAATATATCCAAAATGAAAAATGTATTTTACACTCCCCCTTCTCACCTAAAATATTTTTTTTATGTTTAACTAATCAAAAATGTCATAATATTATATGGAAAATATGATTGTGTTTTTAATTTCATTATTTACATCTATATATCTTTTCTAAATTGTAACCCATGGGTAGATAAATAATCATCTGTCTATTTGTAGTTAGTACCTTCATTAAAATGTATGTATTAAAAATGAACCTAATAGTATTTTTTTTTATTAGATATAGATCCTTGACAAATATTGATTCTGTTGTTTTACAAATGAACATTAGTTTGAAAAATCTAGTGTATGAAAAGTTTGGTAGTAATACAATATTAGAATATTTAAAACAAGCAAAACAGTTTAATCATAAAAATGTATGATCTTGAATACAATACACTTAATTTAAATTGTATAGTCAGCACAATTTGATTTCAGTTACCTCTCATTTCAATAGCTATTGTGGTTGTACCTAATACAGTTACATTTTTTTTTTCTTCGATTTTTCTTTATTTAGACTGATTAGTATATATATCTATAAAAATGTCTTTGTACTATTGATTTATTTTTATATATAATATAATACGTGTTTCTATTATTAAACTAATTTCACAAAAATTAAAAAATTGATTCGATAGCTACAATCATACAAA